ACAGAGAGAGAGAGAGAGAGAGAGAGAGAGAGAGAGAGAGAGAGAGAGAGAGAGAGAGAGAGAGAGAGAGAGAGAGAGAGAGAGAGAGAGAGAATGAGAAACAGAGAGAAAGAGCGAGGGAGGGGACGGAGGGCAATAGCGAAAGAATAGAGTAGGAGTGTTGATTGCAAGTGATTGCATAATGAGAGGAACAAAGAGCAGAGGGAGAGGGGAGAAGAAGAGAGGGGAAAGGAGGAGAGCTGGAGGGGAGAAATTGGGAAGGAGAGAAAGAGAAGGGGATGAAGAGAGAGGGAGAGGGGTGGAGAAAGAGAAAAGGCTGGAGAGAGAAGGAGGGAGAGAGAGACACGAGACAGAGACAGAGAAACAAAGAGACAAAGAGAGAAAGCGAGAGAGCAGAATGAGGGCTACAGACACAGAGAAGAAAAGGAAGCTCATGGGAAGAAAAAAATAGAAGAGTCGAGAAGGGAAATCGCTCGTTTCTCGAAGCGAAATAAACTAGCTTGGGCGTCGATGATTCAATCAGGGTTACGAAAGTCCCGGAAGTTAGGATGTAATTACTTGATTAGATGGTCAGGCGTAAATTTTTAATTGGGAGATCATTAGGTGGCTTCAGATGCCCGAGAACTTACGCTTCGTTTTTGGCGGAAGTTCCGGCGAGGCTGGAGGAGGAGGAGGAGGAGGAGGAGGAGGAGGAGGAGGAGGAGGAGGAGGAGGAGGAGGAGGAGGAGGAGGAGGAGGAGGAGGAAAAGGAGGAAAAGGAGGGGGAGGAGCCTTGGCAGGATCTTGGAGGGAGAGGGTTGCTCTCTCTCTCTCTCTCTCTCTCTCTCTCTCTCTCTCTCTCTCTCTCTCTCTCTCTCTCTCTCTCTCTCTCTCTCTCTCTCTCTCTCTCTCTCTTTTGCTCTCTCTCTCTCGTTCTCTTTCTCTCTCTCTCTCGTTCTCTTGCTCTCTCTCTCTCGCTCTCTTGCTCTCTCTCTCTTGTTCTCTTGCTCTCTCTCTCGTTCTCTCTCTCTCTCTCTCTCTCTCTCTCTCTCTCTCTCTCTCTCTCTCTCTCTCTCTCTCTCTCTCCCTCTCTCCCTCTCTCCCTCTCTCCCTCTCTCTCCCTCTCTCTCCCTCTCTCTCTCTCTCTCTCTCTCTCTCTCTCTCTCTCTCTCTCTCTCTCTCTCTCTCTCTCTCTCTCTCTCGTTCTCTTGCTCTCTCTCTCGCTCTCTCCCTCGTTCTCTTGCTCTCTCTCTCGTTCTCTCTCTCTTTCTCTCTTTCTCTTTTTCTCTCTTTCTTTCTTTCTCTTTTAGAAAAAGAAAAACACTCATGAAATACAGAATCACATATTAAACCACCACAGTATTTTCAGTTTGATGTGCGAATATATATTTTTTTTCTTGGATTTTTTTTTTCCTCACTTACCTTTTAGTATGGCAATATGCACAAATTGAATTTCCCAGGAAAGAAATGAACCTTTCAGAATAAGAATTGGCAGTGATTTCGATTTTCTCCTTAACCACATTATTGTAAACTTTCGCTTTGCCTGAGACGCGAGATGGGAGTAGGTATTTGCATGATAAAAGAATTCAAAAAAATGTCGATGCACTTAGTGAAACGTGGCGTAATTTGTCCGTAGAGTAACTCGTGTTTTTTTGTTTTTTTTTTATTATTTTAGTGTTCTTTTCATTTTCTTTTATTTTTTTTATTTATTTATTTTTTTTCATTCGGGCTTGTGTAAGAAAAATGATATTTAAGTGTTCGTAAGAAATGAGTTTTTAATTGTCCCTTTTCTTTTAATGAGATCAAATCAAATGATCAAAACAGAAACGTTATATATGAAGTATTTTAAAAAGAACAATGCCTGAACTCAATTACATTTCCCTTCAATAATTATCAATAATTGAATATAATTGATATTTTTTCTCTTATACGAAACTACAAGTAACCCAGCTCTCTCTCCCATTGCCTGAGACACCGAGACACGTTCGTTGTTGAGAAAATTAAGTGCTTGTTTGTGAATCTCAGTTCAGCTGGAACCATCAGGGCCTTTGTCTGGGAAACATCAAACGGGAATTCATTTTTTTAAATATTTTTATTTGTTTGTCTTTTTATTTATTTTATTTTTAAATTTATTTTATTTGCTTTTTTTGGGGGAGGGGAAGCTGCTCTTTTGATATCCGTTGTCGGTTTGTCCCCCTCTCCCTCTCCTTCTCCCTCTCCCTCTCCTCCCCCTCTCCTCCCCCTCCTTCCCCTCCTTCCCCTCCTCCCCCTCCACCCCTGCTCCCTATCCTCCCCTTCTCAATGT